CTATTCCCTTTTGGGATAAGCATTTTTCAAGATAGGGAATAAGGAATAGTAAGCTAAAGAAAGGCATAAATTCTTTAGTAGAACCAAGAGCTGAGATGGCGCAGTGGTTAGAATGCAGTACTGCAGGTTACTTTTGCTGACTGCTGGCTGCCTGCAATTTGCAGTTTGAATCTTCCAGCCTCAAGGTTGACTCAGCCTTCCATCCTTCCGAGGTTGGTAAAATGAGGACCCAGTTCGTTGGGGGCAATATGCTGACTCTGTAAACTGCTTGGAGAGGGCTGTAAAGCACTGTGAAGTAGTATATAAGTCGAAGTGCTATTGCTATAATAGATTTGTTCCCCAAAGTATGTATATAAGTTAAAGACATGCATTTTCTTAAATTTAAATCATGTATTAACTTCTGTTTAATACTTTTCAAATATCTTATAAATAGGGTTGAGTAAATCTTAAAGCTATCAACCTTAGTAGTAGCTTTTTAAAATCATAATCTTTATTAATGCTGGGTCTTGACAGAAAATTCCTGAAAGCCTTGCATATATTTTCCTACTTTTTTTAATGGCTTCTGTTGTATTAGCATCAGTAATAGCTTCAATCAGTATATAGATAAAACATGCAACCTAGTACAATTTCTTATATTTCCTATCATGCAGCTCACACCAGCAGATACAGTTGTACTGTCCAATTTTAATTTCAAAACAAACTCATCTATCTGATAAGAAAAGAAAGCTGGCTTCTCACAACTAAACAATACATGTGTTTTAGAAGACCTTATCTACCTAAAATAAGCTTAATTATATTAGTATACATTAATTCTCATAATGCTATCTTTAGTTCTGAAACTGAAAGGCCAAGTGTCTAGCGAAAAGGTATTCCCAATATTCTGTATTAGTATTAGTATTACACTGGTCCCTCAGTTTTCTATTACGCAAATCTGAAATTTTCATAAATAATCCCTTAAAGATGAATAATACCATGAAATATTTCCACTGTGTAAAAGCACTGTGAAGCAGGATATAAATCTAAATGCTATTGCTAGTAAGCTAAAGAAAGGCATAAGAAAACATATCTAAAACAATCTCAATACTATTTACTATGTTTCATTGTGCAAAGTGGACATGTGTGCATCTTCGTAACCATGACTTATGACCAAAATTCTTGTCTCAATTGTTATAAATTGACCTGACAAAACAGCATGCAATCATTATAATTATTCCTGTTTAAAATAAGATTATGATTTGCATATAAGGTCTTTTTCTTATGAGATGATTCATCTTTTTATAATTCCAGACTGAATGCATACTTCCTTGAAATATGACTAAAGCTAGATTGCAGTCACAGTTATGTTCCTTGTATTTCATGTACATAGTTACATTAATCAAATTACTGTTACATAATACTTAGGTGAATATTACCAATAGCTTCAGTATATTTTTTTCTTTGATAACTATGGCATTTAGGTCTAATGAGATCTTATGACTGGCATTTCATTTTTTCCATTTCTAGTTTACTAAATGTAAATAATAACTTTTAAATTATAGTTTCTTTATTGCAATATATATATATTGCAATATAAAAGCTATCTTGAAGCATATATGTTTGTATGTATGTATATATGTATGTATGCATGTATTTAATTGCTAAAATTGAAAATAACTTGATGGCAACATAATCAGTCAATCTATGTTGTAAATTTATTTTTCTGAAAATGGATTGAAACTATTTTCTTTTTTTTTAAATATAGTTTATTAATTTTTACAATTAAAACCAGTCACAATACATACACAAATAAGCAAAAGAAAGAAAGAAAGAAAAGAAAGAAAAGAGAAGAGGAAGAGAGGGAAAGGATTTTAAGAAAAGAAAGAAAGAAAGAGGTTACAGGATTAAAAGTATTCTTATTTTAACAGTTTGCAAGATCTTCTTTTGTTTTCATCACCTTAACTTGTGTCATATAACCACACCTGTTTTTAACTTATATCGCTACCTCGTTATTATGTATTGATACTTTTCTTTTATGCCTTATAATATATTATTTATCTTTGGTCAATCCAATTATACCAACAATTCCAGCTGTCATAGTATAGTGAAGTGTCTTTGTTTTTTAGCGCCAAAGTCAATTTATCCATTTCTGCGCATTTTGAGATTTTTTCAATAATCATTTCTTCTGATGGAATTTGGTGTTGTTTCCAATGTTGAGCGAAGGCTAATCTGGCCGCTGTTAAAATGTGTATTGTTATGTATTTGGTTTTTTTGGAAATTTGCTTATCAAAAATACCTAGTAGGAAGGACTCTGGTTTGTATTCGATCTGCTCTTTGGTGATTTCTTCCAACCAAGTTTTGATTTTCTTCCAATACTTTTGGGTTTCTGCACAGGACCACCACATATGGAAAAAGGTTCCTTCTTTTTTCCTACACTTCCAGCAATGCGAACTCATGTTGGGGTGCATCTTCGCTAACCTCGAAGGGGGGGAGATGCCATCTATAAAACATTTTATAAAGATTTTCCTTGTATGCTGCCGATTTGGTAATCTTATTGTTTCTGCCCCAAACTTTCTCCCATTCCGCTAATGTGATGCTGCGCCCTACGTTCTTACTCCAAGCAATCATATTTCCTTTTACGATTTCTTCTTCTAGTTCTGTTTCTAATAAGTAGTTATAAAATTTTGTTATGTTTTTTTTATTTGATCCTAATAAAATTTTATCTAACTGTTGCAGTTTGTTATTAATTCCGAATTCTTTTTTGTCTTGTTTATATCTGCTTTGAATCTGAAGATAAACCCATTGATCAATTTTATGTCCTTGCTCTTGAAGATCCAGCCTCGGTTTCAAATTTCCTTGTGGGTCTAATAAGTCTTTGTATTTAATCATTTTGGTAAGCTCCAAATTGTTTGGGTGAATCATTGCCTCCATTGTTGAAATCCATACTGGTACTTTTGTATAATGTTTTTTCCTTATTTTCCTCCAAATTGTTAATAGTGCGTCTCTAATTAAATGTCTATGGAAATATTTTTGACTGGTTTTCCCTACGTCCCATAGAAAGGCGTGCCACCCACTTTGTAAATCATGGCCTTCTAGAAATAGTATTCTTTTATTGGTTAAATTCACCCAATCCTTCAACCAAACTAATGAGGTGGCCATATGGTATAACTCCCAGTTTGGAAATGCTAACCCTCCCCTGCTCTTCATATCCTGCATTGCTTTTACATTTATTCTGGGTTTTTTCCCTTGCCAAATAAATTTCAGGGTTGTTCTATTGAGTTCTTCAAAAAACTTTTTATGTAATTTAATTGGGATCGTTTGGAATAAATACAAAAATTTAGGGAGAATGTTCATTTTAATAGTAGCAATTCGGCCTAGTAGTGAAATTTGAAGTTTCCCCCACGATTCTAAATCTTTCTTTACCTGATGTATCAGTTTATCATAATTGTTTTCTTTAAGTGTCTTACAGTGTGGGGTTAGCCAAATTCCTAAGTATTTCACTTTCTTTGTCACTTGTATCTGCATTATTTCTTCTAGTTCTATTTTCTGTTTTTCTGTTAGGTTTTTGGTCATTAATTTGGTTTTTTTTTTGTTTATTTTAAGTCCCGCTACTGCTCCAAATTTCTCTAATTCACTCATCAATTTTGGTCCCCTGTCTTTTGGTTCTTCAAGGAAGAAAATCATGTCGTCCGCAAACGCTTGCAATTTATATTCCTCTTTCTTAACTGTTAATCCCTTTATATCTGAATTCCGCCTAATTCGTGTTAATAATGTCTCTAATGCTAATATGAAGAGCAGGGGAGAGAGTGGGCAACCCTGTCTCACTCCTTTTTCTATCTTTATTGGGCGGGTGCATTCCCCATTCACTATTATATTAGCTTGTTGTGTGTCATATATAGTTGTTATAATATTTTCAAATTTGGTACCCAGATTCAAATTATAAATTTTTTGAATTAAAAATTGCCAATTCAAATTATCGAAAGCTTTTTCTGCATCTAGAAACATGAGTGCTACTTGTCTCTCTGGGTGGGCTTCATAAAATTCTAGTACGTCTAATACTATTCTTAGATTATTCTTTATTTGCCTAGTTGGAAGGAATCCATTTTGATCTTCATGTATATACAAGTTTAGCAATCTTTTTAATCTGTTTGCTATAATAGAAGTGAATATTTTATAATCAGTATTTAAGAGTGAAATCGGCCTGTAATTGTTTATATATCTGGGATCTGTATCCTCCTTCGGGATCAGCGAGATCAGTGCCCCCCTCCATGAGTCCGGCATCCTAGCTGCTAGTAAAACGTCATTAAAAACTTCCACCATAAGTGGTCCGATTTGATCTGCTATTGCCTTGTACAGCTCCCCTGGGATCCCGTCTGGGCCCGGGGTTTTATTATTTTTCTGGCTCTCTATTGCTGATTTCAATTCCGATTCAGTAATGTCTTTATTTAATAGTTCAGCCATTTCTTCCCCAATTGCCTTATCCTTTACTTCATCTAGATAATTCCTTATTCTATCTTCACTGACATCCTCTCTTTTGTATAAATCTTCAAAGTATTTATGAATGATTTCTTTTTTCTGTTCTATTTCCTGGTATGTATCTCCTTTGCTATCTATTAACTGGTATATCAGTCTCTTCTCTTTCTTTTTTTTTCAATTTATAAGATAGCCATCTTCCTGGCTTGTTGGCATGTTCAAAATAGATTTGTCTAGTTAAGTTCAAATTCATAGTCATTTTCTCTTGATCAATTAAATTCAGTTTGTGTTTGACTATACTTATCTGATTTTGCAGTTTGGATTCTTTTGGGTTATTTTGTAGAAGGGTTTCTAGCTCCTTAATTCTCTGTTGTAATTTGTTTTGTTGGGAATATTTTTCCTTGTTTCTCTTAGCATTATAAGAGATTGTTGTGCCTCTTATAACCACCTTCATCGTATCCCAGACATTTTGTTTCGTGGTTTCTCCGTTATCATTTTCTTTAATAAAAAAAATCAATTCCTCCTTTTATTTATTAATATATTCTTTCTCTCTTATTAATTGAGTGTTTAAGGTCCATCTTTTCTTTGGTTTTGCCCTGCCCTTCCATATTACCTGTATTGGATTATGGTCTGCCCATTCATTAGGCAAAATTTCCACTTCTTTTGTCTCATTTGCTATCTCTCCACTCATCCATGCCATATCAATCCGTGTCCATGTTTGGTGGGGATTTGAATAAAATGTAAATTGTCTTTTTTCAGGATGTAATCTTCTCCATATATCTGTCAGATTTAGCTCTTTCATCATTTCCCTACAAATCTTGGGGAGCTCTCTCTTCCCCTTTTTATTCTTCCCGGCATTACTGTGATCCTTTTGGAAATCAGCAATGGAGTTGAAGTCCCCTACCATACAAATATTTCTTTTTTGCAATTCAACCAATTTTCCATATAGGTGTTTAAAAAACTCTTTTTGGTCTCCATTTGGGGCATATATTACTACTAAAAGAATTGGAATATCATTAATCCAGATCTGCAAACCCAGAGTCCTTCCTTCTAAGTCCGACCATATTAGCTCAGATTTCAAATCCTCTTTCACATATACTGCGATTCCCTTCTTTTTCTCCTCATCTGCTGGTGTGGTAAATAATTTTCCTAATTTCGGGCATTCTAAATATTTTTCATCCTTCTTCTTTATATGGGTTTCTTGCAGGCACGTTATATCTGCATTATGTTTAATTAATTTAGATAATATCCTTTTTCTCTTAATTGTTGAATTTAAACCATTTATGTTTATTGATAGTAATTTTTTTTCTTCTCCCATCTATTTAGTTTTGTTTTGCTCTTTGTCGTGTAACAATTCCTCTCTCTTCTTGCGCTTGTATTGATGTAGTTCCTTCTGTCTTTTGTTGTGGATAGGTATTTTCTTGGTTTCCTACCGTTCCAGTTCTATTTTTATGTCCACTGTATTCTTCTTGAAACTTTGTGTCCAATTTCTCCCTACTACTTTGCTCCTGTGGGCCCACCATCCGTTTGTAAAAATCCTGGGCTTTTTCCATAGTATCTATTTTGATTTTCCTCTCTTTCCACGACACTAACATTCCTTCTGGAATAAGCCATTTAAATGTGATTCTTTTTTTATTTAAATATGCTGCCAGAAATTTATAGTCACGCCTTTGTTCCCTTATTCTCCTCGGTATCTGTTTAAGAATCACAATTTCTTTCTCTTTGTAGGTTATAGTTTTATCTCTTGAGGTTCTATATATCATGTCTCGAACACATCTTCTAGTGAATCGTATATGTACTTCCCTAGAACAATTGTGGCGTCTTGCATAATTTGTATTGACCCGGTAGACTTCATCAAACTCTTTTTGAATTTCATCTTTATCCATCTTCAATAAACCGGCCAGTATTTCTGCCATCAAGTATTCCAGGTCTTCTTCTTTTGATTCTGTCACATTTTGGAATCTTAGGTAAGTTGCTGCCTTGTCCATTTCTAGGAGGACAAGGGAGTCCTCCATTTCTTTGCTCATGCTTCTGAGATCTTCATCCACCCTTTCTAATTCCCTTTCTGTTCGTTCGGTTCTTTTCTCTACTTCTTTTATTATAACTTCGTTTTTCTCCAAGGCCTGCTGCAACACCCCCACTTTATCCTCTACTTTGGAAATGTCCGCTTTCATTTCTGTCTTTAGTTTCCCCATTTCTTCCTTCAATTCATTGATATCTGCCCTTGTTTCACTGTGGTTTTTAATCATTGTTTCTTGCAATCTTGTCAATGAGTCCTGTAAAGTTAGGAACATTGCTTGGATATTAGCATTCGAGATGCTAGTTGACTTCTCTGTTGGTAGTGTTTCCTCTATTGTTTTTTGTGCCATGGGTGAAGTTGTTGTCAAAGTAGTCATTACTGTGGGATTAACCTTCCTACCAGATTTCAAAGCAGTGGTAGTTGTAGTAGTCATTTCCTTTAAAATTTGTTTTTGTTGTTGTACAATATTGAATATATTATTCCAAATTGGCATTCAGTATTCTTAGTTCTGTAACTAAAATTGACCAAGATCTATCAACCTATTAAGTAGCTATATTCTTGACTAATTAGTAAAGTGTATATATTTTTCTCTAGTTTAACTTCAATATAAAGTAACCTTAACTATAAAATATATTACATTCACAGATAAACCCACACAAAGAAATATAATATTGGTCTAGAGAGCTCTAAGCTTATTAAGTAACTAATGCTTAATATTCTTACTGTCTCCCCTATATTCCCATTCAAATTATAACAATCTCTATTAATAATAACTTAACTAAATTAATCCAATATTTTAACACTCTAATATTTCATTACTAAATGTACATATTTATCAAGAGGAAATCAGAGGGGAAAAAAAAAAGCAAGCATATTTCAACATAGCATACCATCCACAAGTAAGAAAGAAGAGAGGCTATTTTAGTAAGTATGTACACACAGAAAAGGGTTGAGGAAAAGAAAAAAGAAAATTCCAAAGACAAGAGTTTTTGTTTCCGCTTTTCACTTTGGAAGCTTCCACTTCTAGCACACCGGAAATGGCAAATGAAGATTTGCTGAGTAACAGCTGCCAGTAAGCAATATTCCCACTCGTTTCAGCGTTCTGGATACTGCCTATGGCGTTGCTCTGTCTTTCCCCCCGATCGGCTTCGTTCTGCTTCTGGATCCAATTTAATAGCTTCAATCCAAATGTTAGTGATAATAGAGTCTTCAGACTTCCAAAATTCTCTTTACTTCTTTTTTATTTCCGACTCTCTTCTGCCTGCCAAGCTCTTTCACATTCACTAAACCAATTCTTTTGTAGCCGCTTCGTCTTGGAGCTCACAGCTGGCATTCACACAGTATTTAACAGCCTGAAATCAGTCTATTGTCAGTCAAATATCTTCTCTGCCACGACTCTCTTTCCCCCCGAGCTTGCAAACTTTCACTCACTTTTTCTTCCCATCGGTGGCAGTCCGGACTTTGGAGCCTCCATTGTTAGGAGGCTGTTCTTGATCGTTGGGCTCTGGAGGGCTTCCTCTTCGTTACAGGGGGGTTGCTTTCCCCACACTGCAGCCCGAGGTTCCCCCACACCGGCACGGGTCTCTCCAAGACTCGAGCACCCCGAAAGATCGCACCAAACTCAAGAAAAGGGAGGCTAGAATCACGAGCAGATTTCTGCCCCTCTGACCGTCCTTGCCTTGCCACCGGAAGCTTGGATTGAAACTATTTTCTAATTAAAACTAATTTTATTAAACTCTAATTAAAACTCTATCGAGTTATTACTTATTTGTCGTATATGTGCATGAAAAGAATCCATTATTCCATAATATTTAATGTGTGAAGGGATCTTTGTTAATATTATAATTTCCTGTAATAATTGATATTGATCAGTCAAGGTTGTGCTGACTGGTTCAAGGTATTGAACTGAAGACAAATTGACTTATCAAACAAGTTTAGAAAAATGAAATGTAAGCAGTTCTGCACCTCAAAATATATTTATTGTCACAAAATAACTTTTTTTAAATTAAGAGTTTTAATTTCTTAAAATTCAGTAAGCATGTCAGTGTAATGCTATGATTGGCACTGGAAAGACCAATCTTTAACTTCATACTGTTAACAGAATCTCACTGGGTGGCTTTAGGCCAAGATATATTACCTGTGTTGAGCAAAAGGCAGAATGTTAATTTAATTAAATCTTGACTTTGCACAATATCCTCTGGAATCTGTTTGGTTTATTAAAGTTCCATTTCTAATATGTCCTTTAGTCTACCAACTACCAACGGCATTTATAAATTTTAAAAAATAGTACGGTGAAAGGAAAACACCACTCTCTTTTTGAGTAATATAGAACAGAGTATATTTTCACAGACTCAGTGGCTGCTGACCTTAAAGATTGTTCTGAAGAAAGTAAAGATAGCGGTTGCAGAAGAAGGTTGAGGAAGATGCCTGAGAAAAGCCTACAGATACAGATTTTGTTACTAGGCCTGTACAAACTCCCCGCCCTTCTATACTGTCTAGCCTGGATTTGACTGCCCAGGCTGAGGTTGCTGATCCTTAAGCCATTCTCAGAGGGAAGTGAACTGGCTAAAATTAGGGGGTGGAAAATGCTGTTACCTCTATAATCATAATATTGTTGGGTGTTAACTTTAGATAAATTTGTAGGCAAGTTTACCTGAACATGCATATATATATCTAACTAGATCATAGTTCTGCTGATGTACAACACTAGAAACAGTACAAAAATAGCGAAGATTAATGAAGTGGGCAGAGCAATAAAGCATGTTTGAATACAGTGGTACCTTGATACTTAACTGCTTTGAAACTCATTGAATTTGGTACTCAACATATTTTAACATGAACATTTTGTCCCAGTACTCATCGTTTGCTTAGTACTCAACACACAAACTAGAACTTGGTGTCAGTGGCCTTGTGACCACCATTATTCCTTAAAAATTGTTTGGTGCTCATTGTTTTTAGTACTCATTGTACCTCTCAGAACCAATTAAGGACGAGTGCTGAGGTACCACTGTATATGTATTCCCATCAGAATCCTTTTTAAAGGACCATTCAAAGACAAGACAGGGGCCATACACATCTAGGGTTGGGAATGGGAGCGCTGTTTCAAGTAGCAGAGACTGCAGCAGAGAAAACCCATTTCCTGCATCCCATCAGATGACACTGCCTGATCAATCAATTTGATGCATATCAATTCTGTCCAATTGTAAAGGGTGGGCAGAAACAATGGATACGGTCCTTTAGACAAACACTCTGCCATGGATGAATTTATAGCTGGCAACTAACCCTTGAATTTCAATCAAAAGCTAATTGGCAGCCAGTACAAGTCATGAATCAGAGGGATTACATGAGTGTAGCCAGTACAGCTCATGGTGCTGTATTTTGGGCACTGCAACTTCAAAATGGTCTTTTAAGGACATCCCCAAATAAAGTTCAGTGCAATTATCCACAGGTGCAGTGATCCGGATATGAGTGACTTTCCTGGTCCAGTAGAATATCCTGGTCCAGGAATGGGTGCAACTGGTACATACGGTTTTCCTGGCCATGATTTCCACCTGCTCTTTTTTTGTATCAATTTTATTAATTTTCTGTTAGTTACATTACTTAGTGCTTAATAAACATTGTGTTGTCTGGGTATTTAATTTGCTTAACAATACAAATGCTATTCTTACTCTCCATCCCTTTTTTCCAACCATTGGTAAAATAGATTCCAAGTTTGATAATACTTTGTGTCTTCTTTCTGTTTGATTTTCAATGCAAGTCTGTCCATTTCTGCACAGTCTAATATCTTCTTAATTATGTCTTCATCTTCAGGTGTTTCTTCATCTTTCCAATATTGTGCAAAGATAATCCTCGCTGCTGTTAAAACATGTAATACTAAACAACATATTTCTCTTATTAAGTTTATCTGATATCATCCCTAATAAAAACAGTTTAAAATCTATATATTTCCCTATTATCTTTTCTAGCCATCTATGTATTTTTGCCCATTTTTTTTAGCACAAGTCCGCCACATATGATAAAATGTGCCCATCTTTTGGTTACATTTACAACATTTGCTAGACCTATTTTTAAACATTTTAGCCAACTTTGCAGGTGGTAAATGCCATCTATAAAACATTTTATATAGATTTTCTTTGTAAGAAGTTACCATTGTTAATCTATAGTTCCTTTCCCATAAAATTTTGCCAATTTTTTAATTCTATGTTGTAGCTAATTCTATGTTGTTTTCCCATTGTATAATTGTCTCTTATTTGTCCATTCTCCATTTTTAAATTTAACAAAAATTTGTATACGTTTCTTAATTTTTCATCAGAGTTCAACAGTATCTTATCAAATGGTGTTTGTCCTTTATAAAAACCGTACTTTTTCTTATCTATATCATATCTAGACTGTATTTGCAATTGAGGCAACCATGATAATATAATGTTCTGTTCTTCTTTGATTTTAAATTCCATTTAATGTCTCAAATGTCTTTATATGTCACAATGTTTTCAAACTTTACCAGATTTGGGTATGTAAAAGCTTCCATCATTGAGAGCCATTCTGGAATTTTCAAGTATATTTTAGGCTTTATCTTTTCCCATATCAATATTAATTCCTTATGTAGTGATTTTGAAAATATCTATGAATTTTATTTTTCTCATACCATAGGAAGGTGTGCCATCCTAATTGTAGATTGTGTCCTTCTAAATATAACGTCTCTTGTATCTGAGAGTTATCCATTCTTTTAACCATATTATCACACATGCTTGATAATATAAAAGCCAATCTGGTAGTCCAAACCCTCCATTTTCTTTAGCCTGTTGTAACATTTTAAATTTTATTCTCGCTTTTTTTCCTTGCCAAATAATTTTCAGTATTAATTTGTTCTAATCATCAAAGAATTTCTGTTCAATTTTTACAGATATTGTTTGAAACACAAAAAGCAGTTTTGGTAAGATATTATAATATCATGGCAATCCTTCCTAACACTGACAAATATAGATATTTCTATTTTTCCAAATTTAATTTTATTCGCTTAAGTAGTTTTATATAGCTGTCTTCTTTTAGCGTTGCACATCTTGCTTGTTAAGTGTATTCCCAAATATTTATCTTTCTTAACTATTTGAAAATCCACTTTTTCTGCCAGATTTTCTTTTTGTTTTTGTGTGAGATTTTTAACTATAACTTTAGTTTTTTCTGTTTATTTTCAGTCTTGCTACATCTCCAAATTCCTCTCTCTTTTAACAGCTTTGGGGTTGTCTATCGGTTCTTCTACAATAAATACCAAGTCATCTACAAATGCTTGCAGTTTATATCTTTCCTCTCTTATTTCCAGTCCCTTAATTTCTAAGATTAACACCTGCTCTTTGAAGCAGGACTCTTAAGGTCCAGGAAAACAAAACAAAACAAAAAATCACAAATAGGGAGGTGTGACCCTACTTGGGATTAAAGATAAAATTAGCCAGTCTTACTAGGGTTGAACCTGAGTTGATTTTTCCTTATCCAAATTTTCATCACATCCAAGTACTTGATAGCTTTATTCTGCCAGCCTAAGATTCATGTGCAGTACTGACGCTGCTTGAGATGATGAATGACCAACCTCAGCAGTCTTATGACTGTTATTCAGAAGGGGTGAAAATTCCAAGTACTGTTGTACCCTACATTTCAGGGGCTTTGGCTACAAACATTCTCTGACCGAAACTGATTATAATCACAAA